AAAGACAACTCATAACAGACCTTGCAAATAGCCTTAAAATGTTACATCCAGCAAGTGCACACCCAGGTAACTTCACCTAGTACCGCCTTCTCTAGGCCCCTGTCATCTTGTAGAAGGCCAGAAAAGAATGTGATTTGCAGAAAATCTAAGGTGGTTTTCACTGGGAGCCACACTTTGTGGAGGGAAATGGAACTGCTTTATGTGGGCTTTTCGAGGGGCTCAGTCCATCCCATATCCCCACTGATGTAGGAAGATTTGGGGCATCTCTGGGAAGGCACCTGAAGACAGTGTAGAAACTCACATTTTATTCTCCATGTAAGAACTTATATCTGATTCTCTCCTGTGGTAAAGGATTATATCATATATGCTTGCTGGAAGTTTCTTTTATTTATTTTTTTTTTCTTTTCCTTTCTTTTATTGCAACAGGAAGTTCGGCCAAGTTTGCTGGAAGTTTCTTTTTGTTTTGGAAGTTTCTTTCTTTTTTTTTTTTTCTTGAGACGGAGTTTTGCTGTTGCTACCCAGACTGGAGTGCAATGGCACGATCTCAGCTCACCGCAACCTCCGCCTCCTGGGTTCAGGCGATTCTCCTGCCTCAGCCTCCCGAGTAGCTGGGACTACAGGCACGCACCACCATGCCCAGCTAATTTTTGTATTTTTAGTAGAGACAGGGTTTCACCATGTTGACCAGGATGGTCTCGATCTCTTGACCTCGTGATCCACCCGCCTCTGCCTCCCAAAGTGCTGGGATTATAGGCATGAGCCACCGCGCCTGGCCTGTTTTGGAAGTTTTTACATGAAAAGCATTTGTCCCTGTTTGACATGATAATGGTGATTAATTTTTCTCCCATACACATTCTTATAATCACATTATTTTTCTCTGTATATTTTAATATATTTCAATAAAATATATAATAATTAAGATTCCTGGAATAAATTTTATTCAGAAATTTTGTGTGATTTACCATCACTACATGAAAAGTGCTGATATTTTATTATTATTATTGCCAAGGATGCTTGATGGAATTGGAGATTAAGTTTTTTCTATATTTCGTTTTTTCTTGTGTTTAAAAAAAATCAGTGTTATACGCATCTGACAAAATTAGAGATAAGACTTATTCTTTATTTAATTTTTATTTTTCCACAAGTTATTGGTGTACAAGTGGTATTTGGTTACATAAGTTCTTTAGTGGAGATCTGTGAGATTTTGGCACACCCATCACCCGAGCAGTATACACTGCTCACCCCCTCCCACTCTTCCACACAAGCCCCAAAAGTCCACTGTATCATTCTTGTGCCTTTGGGTCCTCATAGCTTAGCTCCCCCATATCACTGAGAACACATGATGAGAAACGTATTCTTTAAAATGCAGTTGTACATATGAAAGAGATTGTATAACAGGGGAGAAACAGGTTACCTGAAGTTTTCATAAAACCTGCCCTTCAAACAAATCAGATTTTATTCAACTTGAGAGATATATTGCTTACCTCCCTCATAATTTGCATTATTATATATTAATCAATTGAGGGAATAAATGTATTAATGAGGTTTTCTCTTCCTTATTGAGTTACTGTTAATAACATTTTCCTATACAATAAGCAGCTATTGCAGAGAAATATTTGGTACTAATAAAGCTTGCCACTTTTTGGTTGAGCATGGTAGCTCACGACTGTAATCCCAGCACTTTGGGAGGCAGAGGTGAGCAGATCACCTGAGGTCAGGAGTTCGAGACCAACCTGGCCAACATGGTGAAACCCCAACTGTATTAAAAATACAAAAAATTAGCCTGGCGTGGTGGCTACTGTAGTCCCAGCTACTTGGGAGGCTGAGGCAGGAGAATCACTTGAACCCAGGAGGCAGAGGTGCAGTGAGATGAGATGGTGCCACTGCACCTCAGTCTGGGCAACAGAGCGAGACTCCATCTAAGAAAAAAAAAAAAGATATACCACTTGACCCAGCAATTCCATTACTGGATATATACCTAAAAGAATATAAATTGTTGTATTATAAAGACACACGCGCGTGTATGTTCATGCAGCACTATTCACAACAGCAAACATGAAATCAACCTAATGCCCAACACTGGCATTAGGTGGACTGGATAAAGAAAATGTGGTACATATACACCAGGGAATACTGTGCAGCCATAAAAAAGAATGAGATCATGTCCTTTGCAGGGACATGGATGGAGCTGGAGGCCATTTTCCTTGGGAAGCTAACACAGGAACACAAACCCAAATGCCACATGTTCTCACATGTAAGTGGGAGGTAAATGGTGAGAAGACGTGGATACATAGAGGGGAACAACACACACTGGGGCCTATTGGAGGGTGCAGGGTGGAAGAAGGGAGAGGATCAGGAAATATGATTAGTGCATACTAGAATTAATACCTAGTTATGAAATAATCTGTACAACAAACTCCTATGACACATGTTTACCTACGGGACAAACCTGCACTGTACCCCTGAACTTAAAATAAAAGTCTTTTAAAAATGAAAGAAATCTGTCTGGGCATGGTGGCTCACATCTGTAATTCCAGCACTTTCAGAGGCAGAAGGGGAAAGATCACCTGAGATCAGGAGTTCGAGACCAGCCTGGTCAACATGGTGAAACCCCATCTCTACTAAAAATATAAAAATTAGCCAGGTTTGGTGGCAGGTGCCCATAATCCCAGCTACTCGGGAGGCTGAGGCAGGAGAATCACTTGAACCTGGGAGGCAGAGGTTGCAGTGAGCAGAGATCAAGTCTTTGCACTCCAGCGTGGGAGACAGAGCAAGACTTGGTCTCAGAAAAAAGAAAAGAAAAGAAATTAATGGACTCATGAGCACAACTGAATACCAAATAATATAGAAATTTCATTGAAACATATAGTTAACTAATATTTAATATATATTACTATATAATGGATTTCTAGTTATATAAATATGTAAAATATAGTATTAGCAATATAGTTTAGCAATATGTAGTATACCAATTTCTCTTAACAGAAATATCCCAAATGGTAATAATTTTCTAGCTAGACTGAGAAAATATTTTTTCAGTGCAAAAATGTTTACTAGTTCTGCCAGGCGCGGTGGCTCATGCCTGTAATCCCAGCACTTTGGGAGACCCAGGCAGGGGGATCACGATGTCAGGAGTTCAAAACCAGCCTGGCCAAGATGGTAAAACCCCATTTCTACTTAAAGAAAAAAACACAATTAGCCAGGCATGGTGGTGGGCGCCTGTAATCCCAGCTACTGAAGCAGAGAATCGCTTGAACCTGGGAGGCGGAGGTTGCAGTGAGCCAAGATCACACCACTGCACTCCAGCCTGGGTGACAGAGCAAGAGTCTGTCTCAGAAACAACAGCAAAACAGTTGACTGGTTCTATAATGCGGTAGGCAGGTCTCCAACTCCTGATGCTACTCCTATGTTTATGTTATCTGACCTGCCAAAAGGAATTTGGCTGGTAATTTACTGATTAGTGAAGCTTACTAGTCATTTGATTTTTGTTTCTTTAAAGAAAACAAATTTTCTTTTTATCATCAGAAGATTCTAATAAAAATATTATTATGAGATTAGCTACCTTTATCCTCTGGGACTTGAAGCACCTGCATGCTCAGCTCCTTGAGATAGGTCGGGAGGGGGATTCCCCACCGCTGTCCCCTGTCCTGGGACAGGATACCTCTCACCTCGAGCCCCCTCCTCCGGACCCCCGAAGCCCTAGATGCCCCATAGCAGCCCCTCCACGGCTGGCAGAACGGCGTCCTCCCTCCACCAACCCCCAAGACAGGCAGGAACCGTCTAGGGCTGGCACACAGCTGGTGGTGCGGGGGAAGAGGGAAGACGCACCCCCTCCTGCCCACAACCGCCCGGGCGGGCACAGCGGAGCCCCGTGTGCCAAAGGTGGCACCACCCGGGTCTAGAACACAAGTGCCCTGAACGCTGTGGGTCTTCTCCCCTTCTACAGTGGCTGAGGAGTTGGGTGGCAGGGAGGGAAGGGAGAGGAGCATCAGTGCTGGGACCTGAGACAACTCACTGTGCCCCCACCCCCCCACCGCAGGCGGCATCAGACAGTGGCCCGGGAGGACCTCCCATCTGCGGTGCCCATCTCGCGGAGAGGCTCCTGGCCCGTGAGCCGGCAGACACTATTACACAGAAACACTGTCGTGGTCGCCGTGGACGGAACCAACCAAAGCAAGTCTCTCCAAGTCAAAGTCAGCTTTTGGATTCTTGGCGGCGGCAGGATCCGCTGCAAAAATAGACTGAACGTCTGACATTCTCTTAGTAGCAAAGCAGTTACAAGAAACAAGTTGCAATTTGAGTGCTTTGACTGAAAGGGGCCCTTGGCCGGCTGTCCCTGTCACCCGCTGCCCCTGTCACCCGCTGATTCTTTACCGGCTGCCGGTTCCCGGCTGCCCCTGGAGGCTCGGCGGCTTGGCGCCCAGTGCACCTGCGCACCTGGGAGCTCCTCCAGCGTGGGGAAGCCGCCCACGCGCCCTGATGGAGAAAATGGGACTCCAGCTGTGTCCCCGACTCGGGACTGCGCTCACAGCTTGTGAGAATAGAGTTACAATCAACAGTCCATTCAACATCTTGCTCTCGGGTTTCCCTGGAGGCAGGCATCTCTGCAGGGTGCAGGGCGGCCAGGGGCTGCAGAGGGTTGGGACATCCCGCCCGGATACGGCGGTGAGGAGACAAGCCTGAGAGTACCTGGAGCGTGGAGAGGCAGGAAAAGGTGCAGGGAGAGGCCGCGGTGCTGTGCAAGGAACGTGGGGTTGCATCTCTAAAGAGCTGTGGGTCATTCAAGTCCTCCCTCAAGACACCGTGGGACCTAGATTCAAGGAGAAGCCGTCTGTCCGCGGTCCCAGGGCGCAGGCGGAGTTCCGGAGCGGTCTTCGGACGCACGGGAGCTGGCAGCGCCTCACTGAAGCTCAGCCAGGCTCCCGCCGGCCCGTCGTGGCCCCGAAGCTCTGTCTGCTGTGAAGGTGGCAATGCCACAGTCCTCGGGGCAGCAACGCCCCTCACTGCATCCTGTCGAGCTGCAGCTGCGGCACCAGGTACTGCACGAAGATGGTGCCTCCGGGGGTTGCGGCTGAGAGGACCTGGGGCACGGCGGCCCGGTAGCTGTAGCCTGCAAAGCCGGCAGCCGTAGTAGGTTGGACGACGTATGGGTGCTGGGCGTAGGTGGCCAGTGGGTACTGGGCGTAGGTGGCCGGTAGGTACTGCGCGTAGGTGGCCGGTGGGTGCTGGGCATAGGTGGCCGGTGGGTGCTGGGTGTAGGTGGTCGGTGAGTGCTGGGCGTAGGCGGCCGGTGAGTGCTGGGTCGGTGAGTGCTGGGCGTAGGTGGCCGGTGAGTGCTGGGTGTAGGTGGTCGGTGAGTGCTGGGCATAGGTGACCGGTGGGTGCTGGGTCGGTGAGTGCTGGGCGTAGGTGGCCGGTGAGTGCTGGGTGTAGGTGGTCGGTGAGTGCTGGGCATAGGTGGCCGGTGGGTGCTGGGTCGGTGAGTGCCGGGCATAGGTGGCCAGTGGGTGCTGAGTGTAAGTGGTCGGTGAGTGCTGGGCATAGGTGGCCGGTGGGTGCTGGTTGTAGGTGGCCAGTGGGTACTGGGCATAGGTGCCCGGTGAGTACTGGCTGTAGGTGGCCGGTGGGTACTGGGCGTAGGCCCGGCTGGCCGGCGTGTACTCCATGTAGGGCTGGGACAGCGATGTGACCGGGGCGGCCAGGATCACCGTGCTGGGCTGCACGGTGACTGGCAGGTGGATGTCCTGCGAGGTCAGCCCGTAAGTCCGCTGGATCGAGGCGGGGTGTAGCTGCGGCACCCCAATGGCAAAGCCCGTTTGGAGGCTTGGCGGCTTGGCGCCCAGGTAAGCCAGGTTCACGTTGGTCTTGCGGCCGTCGATGACAGGGTGGGGGTCTTCACAAGCCCTCTGGGCTGCCGCCGGGTTGGCCATGGTCACGAAGCCGTAGCCGCGGGACTTACCGGTCTGGGGGTCGAAGATGACAACAGCCTCCTTGATGTGGCCGAAGTCCTCGAAGTACTTCCTGAGCGAGGCGTCGGTGGTGCGGTACCGCAGGCTGCCCACGAAGATCCTGGTGAACTTGGTGTTTGGCGAGCGGCGCATGACGCTAGGGGCGGACGGGGGTGACGGGATGCCGGCGCCGGGGGCGCGCAGCGCGGCTGCAGTAGCCCTGGGGGCGTCCCGCCGCCTACGGACCGTGGCCGCGCGGGGCGGCGAGAGGCGCGTCTCCAATAGTCAGGCAGCACCGCTCGCGCGCGCGGCTTCTGCAGTGCGCTCCGAGCTGCGCCGCGCTCCTTTTGACTTTTTTTTTTTTAATAGACTGAGCCTGTCGGCCAGGCTGAAGTGCAGTGTCGCGATCTCGGCTCACTGCAGCCCCCACATGGTCGACAGAACGAGACTCAGTCTCAAAAAAAAAAGGGGGGGGTGGGAGGGTGGGGGGAAGGAAAATGTTATCCTGGATTATCTGGGTGGGTCCCATGTGTCTTTGAAGCATAAATATACGTCAGAGAGATGCAATAGCAGAGGAAGTCAGAACTCAGGAGCACGAGAGTGGTTTCCCTTGTTGTAGCTTTGAATATATGGGGGCCACGATAAAGAAATCAATTCTGACAACAGCGTGAATGAGCTTAGAAGTAAATTCCACCCCAGAGCCTCAACAATAGAGCCCAGGGCTCTGACCTTGATTTTGCCTTGGGAGACCAAGGTACTGCACAGGTACTGTGCAGAAAAACCTGACACAATCTCTAAACTGGGAGAAAATAAATGAGCGCTGTTGTAAACTGCTGGCTACACTGTGGTCATTCATAAATAGAAAATTAATACACACCGGACAAGTGTAAAGATAAAATATTTAAACACTAAAATAAAAAGCAGCTGTTTATATCCGGACATAATTTTCATCAATTTGAGGTGTATTTTCCTGCATATACAATTTCATAAATATCTAAAACTGCATCTGAAATTACATACAAAATATATATGTATATACACGCCATTCAGATATCCTGTTCATTAGTCAAAATTTAAATATATATTTGCAGGGTTAGGTTTCTGTCTAACTCAATAGTTTTGACCCATCAGTGATATTTTTATACCAGTTGAAATACGTCTACACATTTTTTTTAAGTGCCACATCAGATTCCATGGTGATTGTGAATAACCGTGTCATTGCAACACTCCCTGTTTACACACTGGCAGAGCTGATTGTGTCTGTCTGTGCCCTGCTACAGCACACATCACAGCATGTGGATCACACTGATTGAGCACATCTGGTTACCTGTGTGGTCCTCAGATACAGGATTATTGCACCATGGTGACTGCACATTCTCTGCAAAGACCACTGATAACAGGTCTTGCAAATAGGCATCAAATGTCACATCCCAACAAGTGCACACCCAGGTAACTCCACCTAGTACCACCTTCTCCAGGCTCCTGTCATCTTGTAGAAGGCCAGAAAAAAAAAAATGTGATTGGCAGAAAAATCATAGGTGGTTTTCACTGGGAGCCACAGTTCGTGGAGGGAAATGGGAACGGCTTTATATGGGCTTTTTGCTGGGGTGAGTCCATCCCATATCCCCACCACTGTAGGAAAATCTGGGGGCATCTCTGGGAAGTCACATGAAGACAGAGTTGAAATTCACATTTCGTTCTCCATGTAGGAACTCATCACTCCTGATTCTCTCCTGTGGCAAAGGATTATATCATATGATGTTTGCTGGAAGCTTCTTAGACAAAAAGCATTTGTCCCTATTTGACATGACGATGGTGATTAATTTTTCTCCCGTACACATTCTTATGATCCCATTCTCTCTTTGTATTTTAATATATTCCAATCTAATATGTAATACTGAACATTGCCGGGATAAATTTTACTTGGAAATTTTGTGTAATTTGCTGTCACTAAACGAAAAGTGCTCATGTTTTATTTTTGTTATTGCCAAGTATGCTTGATGGAAGATGGAGATGAAGTTTTTTCTTAATGTGATTTTTTTCTTGTATTTAAAAAAGTCACTGTTATACGCGTCTGACAAAATTAGAGATGAAACTTATTCTTTATTTGTTTTTTATTTTTCCACGAGTTATCGGTGTACAGGTGGTATTTGGTTACATAAGTTCTTTAGTGGAGATCTGTGAGATTTTGGTACACCCATCACCCGAGCAGTGTACACTGCTCACCCCCTCCCACTCCACTGCATAAGCCCCCAAAGTCCACTGTATCATTCTTGTGCCTTTGGGTTCTCCTAGCTTAGCTCCCCCATATCAGTGAGAACACATGATGAGAAACGTATTCTTTAAAATGCAGTCGTACATATGAAAGAGATTGTATAACATGGGAGAAACATGTTACCTGAAGTTTTCATAAAACCTGCCTTTCAAACAAATCAGATTTTATTCAACTTGAGAGATATATTGCTTACCTCCCTCATAATTTGCATTATTATGTATTAATCAATTGAGGGAATAAATGTACTAATTACATTTTCTCTTTCTTATTGAGTTACTATTAATAACATTTTTCTACAAAATAAGCAGCTATTCTACAGAAATATTTGGTGCTACTGAAGTCTACCACTCTTTGGCCGGGCATGGTGGCTCACGCTTGTAATCCCAGCAGTTTAGGAGCCTGAGGTGGACAGATCACCTGAGGTCAGGAGTTGGAGACCAGCCTGGCCAACACGGTGAAACCCTGTCTCTACTAAAAATACAAAAATTAGCCAGGGGTATTGGCAGGCACCCATAATCCCAGCTACTCGGGAGGCTGAGGCAGGAGAATTGCTTGAACTAGGGAAGTGGTGGTTGTACTGAGCCAAGATCACGCCATTGCACTCCAGCCTGGGCTACAAGCGAGACTTGGTGTCAAAAAAAAAAAAAAAAAAAAAAGCAGAAGAAAGAAATAAACAAACTCGTGAACACAACTGAATACTAAATAATATAGAAACATAGTTTTCCAATATTGAAATATATATTGTTATATAATTATATTGACGTAAAATATACCATCACCAACATAGTTTAGCAGTATGTAGTATACCAACTTCTCTTAACAGAAAATTCCATATGGTAGTTATTTTCTAGCTAGATTGACGAATTATTTTCTCCACGCAAAAATGTTTACTGGCTCTGCCAGGCGCGGTGGCTCATGCCTGTAATCCCAGCACTTTGGGAGGCCAAGAAGGGTGGATAACCTGAGGTCAGGAGTTCCAAAACAGCCTGGCCAAGATGCTGAGACCCTGTTTCTACTAAAAATAAAATTAAAATAAAATTTAGCCAGGCGTGGTGGTGGTTGCCTGTAATCCCAATTATCTGAGGCAGAGAATTGCTTGAACCCTGGAGGCGGAGGTTGAGTTAGCCGAGATCGTGCCTCTGCACTCCAGCCTGGGGGACAGAGCAAGACTCTGTCTCCGAAAAACAAACAAACAAAAAAAGGTTTACTGGTTCTATAATGTGGTAGGCAGGTCTTCAACTCCTGGTGCTACTCCTATGTTTATGTTATCTGACCTGCCAAAAGGAATTTGGCTTGTAATTTACCGATTAATGAAGCTTACTAGTCATTTGACTTTTGTTTCTTTAAAGAAAGCAAATTTTCTTTTTATCATCAGAAGATTCTAATAAAAATATTATTATGAGACTAGGTACCTTTATTCTCTGGGACCTGGAGCACCTGCATGCTCAGCTCCTCGAGGTTGGTTGGGAGGGAGACCCCCCCACCGCTGTCCCCCGTCCTGGGACAGGATACCTCTCACCTCGAGCCCCCTCCTCCGGACCCCCGCAGCCCTAGATGCCCCATAGCAGCCCATCCACGGCTGGCAGAACGGCCTCCTCCCTCCACCAACCCCCAAGACAGGCAGGAACCGTCTAGGGCTGGCACACAGCAGGTGGTGCGGGGGGAGAGGGAAGACGCACCCCCTCCTGCCCACAACCGCCCGGGCGGGCACAGCGGAGCCCCGTGTGCCAAAGGTGGCACCACCCGGGTCTAGAACACAAGTGCCCTGAACGCTGTGGGTCTTCTCCCCTTCTACAGTGGCTGAGGAGTTGGTTGGCAGGGAGGGAAGGGAGAGGAGCATCAGTGCTGGGACCTGAGACAACTCACTGTGCCCCCACCCCCCCACCGCAGGCGGCATCAGACAGTGGCCCGGGAGGACCTCCCATCTGCGGTGCCCATCTCGCGGAGAGGCTCCTGGCCCGTGAGCCGGCAGACACTATTACACAGAAACACTGTCGTGGTCGCCGTGGACGGAACCAACCAAAGCAAGTCTCTCCAAGTCAAAGTCAGCTTTTGGATTCTTGGCGGCTGCAGGATCCGCTGCAAAAATAGACTGAACGTCTGACATTCTCTTAGTAGCAAAGCAGTTACAAGAAACAAGTTGCAATTTGAGTGCTTTGACTGAAAGGGGCCCTTGGCCGGCTGTCCCTGTCACCCGCTGCCCCTGTCACCCGCTGATTCTTTACCGGCTGCCGGTTCCCGGCTGCCCCTGGAGGCTCGGCGGCTTGGCGCCCAGTGCACCTGCGCACCTGGGAGCTCCTCCAGCGTGGGGAAGCCGCCCACGCGCCCTGATGGAGAAAATGGGACTCCAGCTGTGTCCCCGACTCGGGACTGCGCTCACAGCTTGTGAGAATAGAGTTACAATCAACAGTCCATTCAACATCTTGCTCTCGGGTTTCCCTGGAGGCAGGCATCTCTGCAGGGTGCAGGGCGGCCAGGGGCTGCAGAGGGTTGGGACATCCCGCCCGGATACGGCGGTGAGGAGACAAGCCTGAGAGTACCTGGAGCGTGGAGAGGCAGGAAAAGGTGCAGGGAGAGGCCGCGGTGCTGTGCAAGGAACGTGGGGTTGCATCTCTAAAGAGCTGTGGGTCATTCAAGTCCTCCCTCAAGACACCGTGGGACCTAGATTCAAGGAGAAGCCGTCTGTCCGCGGTCCCAGGGCGCAGGCGGAGTTCCGGAGCGGTCTTCGGACTCACGGGAGCTGGCAGCGCCTCACTGAAGCTCAGCCAGGCTCCCGCCGGCCCGTGGTGGCCCCGCAGCTCTGTCTGCTGTGAAGGTGGCAATGCCACAGTCCTCGGGGCAGCAACGCCCCTCACTGCATCCTGTCGAGCTGCAGGTGCGGCCCGGGGTACTGCATGAAGCTGGTGCCTGCGGGGGCTGCGGCTGAGCGTACCTGGGGCACGGCGGCCGGGTAGCTGTAGCCTGCGAAGCTGGCAGCTGTAGCAGGTGGGGCGGCGTACGGGTGCTGGGCGTAGGTGGCCAGTGGGTGCTGGGCGTACGTGGCCGGTGGGTACTGGTCGTAGGTGCCCGGTGGGTGCTCTTCGTAGGCGGCCGGTGGGTACTGGGCGTAAACCCCGCTGGCTGGCGCGTACCCCATGTAGGGCGGGGACAGCGATGGGAGCGGGGCGGCCAGGATTACCGCGCTGGGCTGCCCGGTCGCTGGCGGGTGGATGTCGTCCGGGGTCGGCGGGTAAACTCGCTGGATCGAAGCGGGGCGCAGCTTCCGCACCCTAGTTGCAAAGCCCGTCGGGAGGCTCCGCCGCTTGGCGCCCAGGTAAGCCAGGTTCACGTTGGTCTTGCGGCCGTCGATGACGGGGTGGGGGTCTTCACAAGCCCTCTGGGCTGCCGCCCGGGTGGCCATGGTCACGAAGCCGTAGCGGCGGGACCTGCCCGTCTCGGGGTCGGTGATGACCACGGCCTCCTCGATGTCGCCGAAGTCCTCGAAGTACTTCCTGAGCGAGGCGTCGGTGGTGCGGTACCGCAGGCTGCCCACGAAGATCTTGGTGAACTTGGTGTTCTTCTGCCAGCGGTACATGGCGGCGGGGGCGGCCGGGGACCGCGGGGTGCCGGCTGCCGCAGCACTGGGCGGGGGTGCGCTGCCTATTGTCCCGGACCGCGCGGGGCTGCACTCACGGTGGGCGGCGGGGAGCGCGCGGGGAGGCGAGAGGCGCGGGTCCAGCGGGCAGGCACCACCGCTTGCGCGCCGCTCCGGCAGTGAGCGCAGAGCTGAGCTGCGCCTAGCTTCTTTTTCACTTTTTATTATTTATCTATTTATTTATTTTTGAGACTGAGTCTCTCTCTGTCAACCAGGCTGGAGTGCAGTGTCGCGATCCCGGCTCACTGCAGCCCCCGCATGGTCCACAGAGCGAGAGACTCAGTCTCAAAAAGAAAAAAAAAAAGGAAAAGAAAAGAAAGTTATCGGTTATTATCTGAGCGAGTCCTAAGTGTCCTGGAGGCGGAAATAAACGTCAGAGAGATGGAATAACGGAGGAAGTCAGAACTCAGGAGCACGAGAGTGGTTTCACTTGTTGTGGCTTTGAATATATGGGGGCCATGAGAAAGAAATGAATTCTGACAACAGCCTGAATGAGATTAGAAGTAAATTCCGCTCCCAGAGCCTCAAGAATAGAGCCCATGGCTCTGAACTTGACTTTGGCCTTGGGAGACCAAACAGAATACCCAGAAAAACCTGACACAGTTCTCATCTATGAACTGTGAGAAAACAAATCAGTGCTGTAGGAAATTTCTGGCTAAACTGTGGTCATTCGTAAACAAAAAATTAATACAGACGTGACCAAATGAACCATAAAATATTTAAACACTGACACAAAAAACAGCCATTTATAACCAGACATCATAATTTTCATCGGTTTGAAGTGTATTCTTCATATACAATTTCACAAATATCTAAAATTGCATCTGAAATCACATACAAAATTATGTATATACATACCATTCAGATATCCTGTTCATTATTATTCAATATTTAAATATATATTTACAGAGTTAGATTTCTGTCTAATTCAATAGCTTTCACCCATCAGTGATGTTTTTACACCACTTGAAAGAGATCTATGCATGTTTTAAAAATGCCACATCAGATTCCATGGCGATCGTGAATAAACCATGTCATTGCAACACTCCCTGTTTGCACATTGACAGAGCTGTGTGTGTCTGTGCCCTGCTACAGGACACATCACAGCATGTGGATCACACTGATTGAGCACATCTGGTTACCTGTGTGGTCCTCAGATACAGGATTATTGCACCATGGTGACTGCACATTCTCTGCAAAGACCACTGATAACAGGTCTTGCAAATAGGCATCAAATGTCACATCCCAACAAGTGCACGCCCAGGTAACTCCACCTAGTACCGCCTTCTCTAGGCCCCTGTCATCTTGTAGAAGGCCAGAAAAAAAAATGTGATTTGCAGAAAAATCTAAGGCAGTTTACACTGGGAGCCACAGTTCGTGGAGGGAAATGGGAACTGCTTTCTGTGGGCTTTTTGCTGGGGTCAGTCCATCCCATATCCCCACTGCTGTACAAAAATTGGGCGGCATTTCTGGGAAAGCACCTGAAGACAGTGTAGAAACTCACATTTCGTTCTCCATGTAGGAACTTATACCTGATTCTCTCCTGTGGCAAAGGATTATATCATATGATGTTTGCTGGAAGTTTCCTAGACAAAAAGCATTTGTCCCTATTGGACATGACGATGGTGATTAATTTTTCTCCCATACACATTCTTATGATCATATTATTTTTCTATTTATATTTGAATGTATTTGAATATATAATACTGATCATTGCTGGGTTAAATTTTATTCAGAAATTTTGTGCGATTTACCATCACTACATGAAAAGTGCCAGTTTTATTTTTAGTACTAAAAGTATGCTTGATGGAAGTTGGAGATTACGTTTTTTCTATATTTTACTTTTCCTTGCATTAAAAAAATCCGTGTTATACAAGTCTGACAAAATCAGAGATGAAACTTATTCTGTTTTATTTTTCCATGAGTTATTGGGGTGCAGGTGGTATCTGGTTCGAGGAGTAAGTTCTTTAGTGGAGATCTGTGAGATTTTGGGGCACCCACCACCCAAGCAGTGTACACTGCACCATATCTGTAGTCTTTTACCTCTCACCCCCCTACTCTTCCCTGGAAGGCCCCTAAGTCCACTGTATCCTTCTTATGCTTTTTCATCCTCATAGCTTAGCTCCCACATATCAGTGAGAACATACAGTGAGAAACTTACTCTTTTCTTTAAAATGCAATCGGCCGGGCGCGGTGGCTCAAGCCTGTAATCCCAGCACTCTGGGAGGCCGAGGCGGGTGGATCACGAGGTCAAGAGATCGAGACCATCCTGGTCAACATAGTGAAACCCCGTCTCTACTAAAAATACAAAAAATTAGCTGGGCATGGTGGTGCGTGCCTGTAATCCCAGCTCCTCAGGAGGCTGAGGCAGAAGAATTGCCTGAGCCCAGGAGGCGGAGGTTGCGGTGAGCCGAGATCGCGCCATTGCACTCCAGCCTGGGTAACAGGAGCGAAACTCCAGTCACAGATATGAAAGAGACTGTAGAACATGGGAGAAACATGTTACCTGAAGTTTTCATAAAATCTGCACTTTCTACAATCTAAGAAAAAAAAATTCAAAGGTAACCTGTCTACAATCTAGGAAGAAGAAAAAAAAAAAAAACCTGCCCTCCAAACAAATCAGATTTTATTCAACTTGAGGGATATATTGCTTAACTGCCCCATAATTTGCATGGAAAACGTACTAATTAATTTAGAGGATAAATGTATTCCTTAGGCTTTCTCTTTCTTATTGAGTTACTATTAATAACTTCTTTTCCTACAAAATAAGCAGCTATTCTAGAGAAATATTTGGTGCTAAAAAAGCTTAGCACTTTTTGGCAGGGCACAGTCTCTCACGCCTGTAATCCCAGCGTTTTGGGAGGTAGAGGTGGGCAGACCACCTGAGGTCAGGAGCTCTACATCAGCCTGGACATCATGGTGAAACCCCTTCTCTACTAAAAATGCAAAAATTAGCCAGGCGTGGTGGCGGGTGTCTGCAGTCCCAACTACTCGGGAGGCTGAGGCAGCAGACTCACTGGAATCCAGGAGATGGGGGTAGCAGTGAGCTGAGATCTCGACGTTGCACTCCAGTCTGGGATATAGAGAAAGACTTGGTCTCAGGGAAAAAAAAGAAAGAAAGAAATCAACGGACTAGTGAGCACAACTGAATGCCAAATAATACAGGAATTTCATAGAAATATTTAAACATATTTAATATATTTATACATTTATATTATATTCAATACTTACCAATATTTAAATACCATTACTATATAATTATATTGATTCATAGTTTTATAAATATGTAAAATATATATTACCAATATAGTTTAGCGAAATATAGTATACCAATGTCTCTTAACAGAAATATCCCAAATGTTAAGAAGTTTCTAGCTAGATTGACAAATTATTTTCTCAGTGCAAAAAGTTTACTTGTCCTGCCAAGTGTGGTGGCTCACGGCTGTAATCCCACCCTTTGAGAGGCCGCAAAGGGTGGATCACCTGAAGTCAGGAGTTCAAAACCAGTCTGGCCAAGATGGCGAAACCCCGTTTCTACTAAAAATAAAATTTAAAAAAATTACCCGTGCCTGGTGGCAGCCTCCTGTAATCCCAGTTACTTGGCAGCCTGAGGCAGAGAATTGCTTAAACCTGGGAGGCGGAGATTGCAGTGAGCTGAGATCGTGCCACTGCACTCCAGCCTGGGCCACAGAGCGAAACTCCCTCTCAGAAAAAAAAAAAAAAAAAAAAAGTTTACTGGTTCTGTAATGTGGTAGGCAGGTCTCCAACTCCTCGTGCTACTCCTGTGTTTCTGTTATATCACCTGCCAAAAGGAATTTG